CAGAGGGGCCAGGAGCCCTGTGCCCTTTCCCAGGAGCAGAGGGACGAGTTGTGATGTGTGTCCAAGCAGCTGCACCCCGTGGTGCCACAGCAGGAGCTCAGCCACGAGCCCAGCACAGAGCAGAGGGGGTGGAAGACAGCCCAGGCCCATTCCACAGGCCCCAGTTCCTGTTCAGCAGCAACTTCTAGGCCTTAAAAAAGGGATCCCAGGGTGGCTGCACCCCTCAGACAGCCTGCTCCCCCCAGCAGGGCACTGAGAGGAGGCAAAGACCCCTGGCCCTCGCTGTGCCACGGGGCCTGGCAGCAGCAGGGTGGCAGCTGTGCCCCGGCACGCGGCACCGGGCAGGGATGGACAGGGAGAGCTGCCAGCTGGGGCCCTCCCGGGGGCACCGGCCCCACGCCAGGACCCTGGACTGCCCCGGGACATGGGGGAGGTGGTTTGTGTCCCCCCCTCCCCGGCTGTGCCGTCCGGAGCAGAGCGTGTTTGCTCAGCTGAAGAGTTTGGGGAATTAAGGGAGAGAGCCAGACCTTTCTCCAGGCGTATAATGACCCGTGAAAACCCTTGGCTGGACCTTCCAGAGCACGCAGAGGAGGGAGCTGGGATGGAGCTTTGTCTCCAAAGGCAGCTCAGGGAGAGGGGCTCTCCTCAGGGGGACCCCGAGCCCCGGGCTGAGCTGGGGTCTGTGCTCACACCAAGGGACAGTCCTGGGGACACCTGAGACACGAGCTGGGAGGTCTCAGCCCTTCCCTGGCACCAACTCCAAACCCACCCCCCAAAGGGCACAAGACCCCCAAGGGAGCCCCAAGCAGGCGATGCCCCCCAAGGTGCCCCAGTGCCCCCCGTCACATCCCATCCCCGAGTGGGCCCCGCAGTGCCCCCCCCCCCCATTCCACGGGTTGGGTTACGGGCGAGGGGGCTCTGGCACGGGGGTGGGAACCCGCCCGCCTCCGCCGGAAGGGAGATAAGCGGCAGGTCCCCGACCCCGGCGGGGAGAGCTTGGCGCGGGGCCATCGGGGACAGGGACACGCTGCGGGACGGGAGCTGCTCCGGGGGCTCGGCTCGGGGACACTCTGGGGACCCCCTGCCCGTGGGGACACAGGGGAGACCCCCCCGGGTTGGCTCCAGCCAGGAAGGGGCGAGCGAGGGGATGAACAGGTTTATTTTCTGCAAAAATAATAAATTACCACCCTCCTTCACCCCCACCCCAGCCCCGCTGCCCACATGGGCCCCCCATGGACGGCGAGATCCCCCAGGGCGGGATGGGGGGCGGTCCGTGGGGGTCCACCCGCAGCCAGGGGAGGGGTCGGTGCACTGCAGGAACCCCGTCCCGGGGGGGCTCAGGGGCTGGGGGGGCTCAGGGCGGCCGGGGCTGCGGGCAGTGCCGCGCCGCCTCCCGCACCAGCCGCGCCTCGCGGGGCGTCCAGGGCCGGGCGTAGCCGCCGTCCTGCAGCAGGATGCGGTTCAGGGTGTGCTCGTGGTTCACGTGTCGCCGCGCCATCAGCACGTACTCGCCGCCCTCCCGCAGCGGGGGACACCCGCACGTGTTGGGCACCCACAGGTACTCCCGGGACACCAGCGGCGAGCGCTGCCGGTACGGAGCCTTCACCTCCACCTCGTAGCGCGTCTCCCGCCCCACTAAGCGCTGCGCCAGGATCCGCCCGTGGAACACTGCGGGGTGAGGAGGGGGCACCCTGAGCCCCTTCCCACTCCTGGCATTGTCCCTGGCATTGCCCTGTCCGGCCCCCGACATCCTCCCGAGCCCCTCCCGCCCCGGCGCTCACCGAAGTCGCTCTGGCAGAAGTGCCGGATGCGCTGGGAACGTCCCTTGGCCGGGCGGCACCTCCCGCATCGCCCTGCGGGGACAAAGCTGCAGCAATTTAGGGGGCGGAGGGAACTCCTGACCCCCCAAAACCTCCATCCCCGCAGCCCATTGAGGGCCCATTGAGGGCCCAGACTCCAGAGAGGGACACACCAGGCTCCTGAGAGTTCTGGAGGGGGGTTAGGGCCCATTTTAGGGCCTCCATCTCATTTCTACCCCTGACCTCTACCCCCACTCCCAGCAACAAGCCCAGGGGTTTGGGGGGCTCTGGAGACCCCCGAGGGGAGCAGGTACCTGCAGAACCCCTATCCTGGTTCCAGCTGGGGGGGCTCCTCGGTGGCGGCTCCGTGGCAAAGCCCCCGGGCTGGGGGGGCAGCGCAGGGGCCGGGGTGAGTGGAGGCTCCTGGGGCGGGGGGCTGCCGGCCCCCCGGGGCTGGGGCTGCCGCAGGGGGCTGGTGTCCCCGTGGCCGGGCTGGGGGTGCCCGCGGGGCAGCCAGAACTCATACTCGATGCCAGGGTTGGGCTCCTGCAGCAGGACCTGGGGGGCAGGGGCAGGGCTGAGTTGGGGGCTGGGGGTGGCTGCCCCTTGTCCCCGTGTGTGCCCCCCTCGCCCTCACCATCACGTGCAGGTCCTGGTCGGTGGGCCCGGGCGCCTCCAGGCTCTCGGTGCCGTCGGGGGCACGGGTGTAGGTGAGGCGGGTGCCGGCGGCCTCGTAGGGCCCCGGCCAGGCTATGGCCCAGTCCCCGTTGAGCACGTAGCGCCCGTCGCTCGTCATCAGCGCTGCGGGAGCCAGCGGGTCTGGGGCCCAGCACCGCACAGCCCCCCGAACCCCCCGCCCCGCTCCCCACCAGAGGCCTCTCCCGGCGCAGGGAGGGCAGCGTGGGCCGGCAGAGCTGCGCTCGGGGCTCCGGGGAATCTGCGTTCTTGTAAGATCTTGGCTTCGGGCCCAAGCCAGAGCCAAACCCCGGTGTGCAACCCCCTCCCCTTCACCAAGCCCCCAGCCCCTGGTCCCAGTGGGGGACGGGGCTCCAGCTGCATCGAGGACGGGAGCTGGGGGAACGGGGGTCCTGGTCCTGGTGTGCGGTGGCCGGTCTGGCCCCGCTCCAGCCCAGCCCTTCCCAAAACCCACAGCAGCAGCCTCTGGAAAATTGCCCCGAGCGCTTGCGAGTTCACTGACCCCGGGATGCTCAAAACAGCATCTGAGGGAGGGAGCGGCACGGCACGCCATGGGACAACACGGGACAACCAGGGACAACATGGCATGGAATGGCACAGCCACCCCTGCCCTGCCCTGCCCTGCCCTGCCCAGACCCGCAGCTGGCACCGGCCGGGACCAGCTGGGATGGACTGGGGCTCACTGGGATGAAGGCAGTTCATGTCCTACCCAGGTAGTTGCGGCTCTTGTCCGTCACTTTGATGTGGGTGGCCCCAGCTGGGATCTTGGTCACATTCACGTACCCAAAATGTCCTGTCGGGGTGGGAGGCAGAGTCAGGGCAGAGCCAGGGCAGGGCCCGAGGGGATATCCTGGGGGGATGGGGCAGGAGGGGATGGGGCACAGAGGTGATCTGGGTCTGGGGCATTAACCCAGCTGGGCCCCACGTGATGGGACATCAGGGGCACCCCACGATGGCCCTGGGGTGCCAGTCAGGGCTGTTTGCTCTCTTGCTCACTGTCCCCACAGCCTGCCCAGCAGGACACAGGGACTCTGGGTGCCTCCAGGGACCCTTGAACACCCCTGGGGCCCCACAGACCACAGGGGTGCCCCAGAGACCCCCCACCCACCCCAGAGGAGCAACACCCTCTGCAAGGAGGCCAAATCACCCCAGTGAGGGGGCTGCTCCCTGAGTGTGGGGGACAGGGAGGGATCAGGGACGATGCCCTGGCGGACGGGGGAGATGGAGAGGGACAGGGTGACAGGGGACCCAGGCGATGCCTTGGGGACACAGACGGGGGGTGGGAGGACAGAGGAGCCAAGAGCCAAAGCATTCACCCATGGAGGGGGCCGGGGCAATGGTTCATTCACCGGAGGAGGGGTCCGAGCCCTGGAACAGCCGGTGCACAAAGACGCAGGAGCCGCTGGCACAGTGGCCGCAGGAGTCGGGGCGGGGGCCCGAGCCCAGGATCCCGTCACAGCCCACGCTCTGCGAGAGCCCAGACGCTGCCTCAGCGTGGGAGGTCAGGGCTGGGGGTCCCGGAGAGTCCCAGGGGGTCCCAGCCCCGCGCACCCACCAGGCAGCGCCCGCCAACACACAGGTCCAGGGAGCCGGGGCTGCAGCGGGTCCCGTCCAGCACCCGCCCGAAGCTGTAGTAGAAGTTGTGCCCCTCGGCCAGGCAGTTGAGGTCGCAGAGGTTGGGGGCTGATGGATTGGGGTGAGAAGGGGTGGGGGTGGCACCGGGGGTGGCCACGGGCCCCCCTGTCAGCCCCGTGACACCGTCCCCACCCCGGGACTCACCTCCGTGGAAGGGCACCCAGCGGTACCGGGCGGAGGTGCCCAGGACGGGCTTGTTGTCGTAGAGGGAGCACTGCATGGCCCGGAAGGGCACGGAGCCGCTGGGACAGCCCTGTGGGAGCGGCAGGATGGAGCCCACGGGCCGGGATGGCGACTGGCACCGGCCACGTCAGTGCCCAGCCCTCCCAGCGCTCACCTGGAGCTGGCAGAGCCGGTACTGGCGCGGGTCCCCTGTGCACGGCTCCTCCCCGGGGGTCCTGCAGTCACAGCGTCAGCGTGGTGGGGTTGGGACAGGGAACCCCCCCGAGCAGCCCTGCCTGTGCCCCACGGCCCCCACGGGGAACCACCGAGCCACCACGGGGCTGGCAGTGACACCTCCCCACAGGGGAACAGGAGAGGGGACCCCGATGTCCCACCATGTCCCTCATCCCCCTGGAGCTGCACCCCAGGGTGGAACCACCAGGCTCCAGGTCCCCCCACGTGGTGCTGAGGGCCCCCGGGGACACGTGGGAGGTGATGGCAGAGCCGTGCCAAGGGATTTGGGTGCCCCGAGTGGGGTTTGGGCCCTGCCATGGGATGGGGTCCCCGTGCCCCACTCACCGCTGGCACCTCCGGGTGCGGAGGGCGACCCCGTCCCCACAGGAGCTGGAGCAGGAGCTCCAGGGGCTCCAGGACCCCCAAGTCCCCCGGGCCAGCTGTCGGCGGGGCCGAGCAGGGGCCGGGGGCTCAGGGACCCTCTCTGGTGTGCCCAGGGCTGGGTCCTGCGTGAGGGAGGTGACAATCAGCAGGGGGTGGGGGTCAGGAAGCCCAGGGGTGCTGCCACGCACCCCAAACCCCTCACCTGTGCCGTGCCAACCAGGCTGAGCCAGGCCAGGAGCAGGAGCCGCCACGGGCACCGGCACCTGCGGAGCACAGAGCCCTGAGCCCCCCGTCCCCGGGGACCGGGGGGTGTCCCCACACCCCCCATCGCCACCAGGGCAGGGCCACCGCCGAGCCCCCCCACGGGGACCGCAGTGAGGGGGAAGGAGGAGAGACGGGCAAGAGCAGCCCCGGCGGGAGGGTCCCCAGGGCAGGGACGGGGGGTCCGGTGCTGCCCATGGGGTCAGGCGGGTGGGCGACAGCGGCTGTGTGACACCGGCCGTGTGACACCGAGTGGGTGACGCCGTGTCCCCAACACGTGCCCACGCGGCACCGGGACGGGCGACGGCCCCGCCACCCCCAGGGCCCCGCGGCGGGCGCCGGGCCGGGATCGCTGCCTGCCGGGACAGGACCAGACCTGCACGGTTGGGGCTCCGCGCCGCTCCCCGATCCGGATCCGGCCCCGCCGTGGGGCGAGCAGGGTGGGGGGCAGCGGGGGCCCCCCCATGGCCCAAAGCGCCCGATCCCGGAGCCCCCCAAAACGCCCAGCCAGGAGGGGCGGGGGGTGCAAGGGGGTGCGGGAGGCGTCGGGGGTGCAAAGGGGTGCAGGGGGGGGTTCCGGAGGGGTGCAGGGGGGGTTCCGGGGTCCCAACCCCCTGTCGGGGAATTCCCCGGCCGAGCCGGTTCCCTCCCGCCGCACAGCTCTCACGGGGACCGGGAGAGTCGCGAGTGGCCGCCCTCAGTCCCGGGGTCCGGGTGCCCCCGGCGGGGCAGGGGAGGGGACGGGGGGTCGCGGTACCGCCGCTCCGGGGTGGGTGCTGGTGGGTCCGGAGCCCGCCGAGGGTCGGGTGATGCCCAGACCCCTCCGGCAGCGCGGGGGGCACCGCGTGCCTCAGTTTCCCCGCAGGAGCCCCGGGGGCGCGCGGGGGTGCGGGATGGGGGGTCCCGCGAGGGGGTTGAGCAGAAATCAGGACCTTACCCAGCTCCGGGGGGTCCCCCGCGGAGGACGGGGCGGCCCCCACAGCCCCCCCCGGCCATGCAGCCCCTCGTCCGCGGCGTCCCGGCGGCTCCGTCCCGGCTCGGCGTCCCGGCGGCGGCGAGAGGGGGGGACCCGGCACGATCGGGCATCGCCTGCGCAGCTCCGGGGGGGCCGGGCGAGGCTTCCCCCCCCCCCGCCCGGTTCGCCTCCCGTCCCTCCCCGCCGCGTTATTAATATCCAGCCCCAAAGGTGCGCCCAGCCCTCCCCGGCCGCCCGTTAACCCTTGGGAGCCCGGAGCTCCGGCGGTCGGGGAGGGGGGGCTGGTGGGGTTCTAGGAGGGCGGAGCTGCTGTTTCGCAGCACCTGCACCCCCCGGGACCCCACCGGCCCCAGCAGCAGAGGGGAAGAGGCACCAGGACCCCCGTAAAAGGTCGTATCCTGATTCGGGACCCCCCCCGGTTCTGGGCATCCCGGGGAGGGTTGATCCCACCGGGGATCCCTCCTTCGTGATCGAGGTCTTCTGGGGGGGCTTTGGGTGCCAGAGCGCTGGGGGCTGGGTGCGAGGGGGTCACCCAGCACCCTGGGGTCCCACGGGCATCCCAGAGCTGAAGGGGTTACAGTGTCGGGTGGGGGTGTCCCCTGGGGCGTCCCCACTGCAGAGCAGAGCGGGCAGGATGGTCCCGGGGCACGCAGGGGATGAGCCCCTCGGCTGGTACATCGGGGACGCAGGCAGTGGGATGATCTACAAGCAGGGACGGCTCCTGGGAAAGGTAAATCCCCCCTCCCTGCACCCCTGAACAGCCCCTCACCCCAGCCAGCACCCCCTGCCCGCTGGGCACCCCGGGGGTGCCACAAACCCGCACCCCCCAGGGCTGCAGGGGGTCCCCCCCACATCCCCTCTGGGGAGGGGGCCGCTGAGGCAGGGGGAGACACGGACACCCTCTCAGGGCACCTTCGGGCGCTGCTACGAGGTGACAGAGGTGAGCAGTGGCCGGCTCTATGCACTGAAGGTCATCCCTCGAGCCCGGCTGGCTGCGCTGGGCGGCGGGGAGAGGGTGAGTCTGGGGCGGGGATTGGGGAGGGGGGGCAAAACCCACGGGACCCCCTCAGAGCCCCCCAGCCCTGCCCGTGCCCCGTCCCGTGGGGCGTGTGCTGGGATCCCGAGGGTTCTGCGGGGGCTGCCGGGCTCGTGGGGCTGCAGGTGGAGCGGGAGCAGGAGCTGCACCGACACCTGAGCCACCGGCACATCGTCCGCCTGCACCGGCACTTCAGCGACCGCGGCCACCTCTGCCTGCTGCTGGAGCTCTGCAGCCGCGGGGTGAGCGGGCACCTGCACCCCCAAACCGAGCAATGCACCCCCATCCCCAGGCCAGGGCTTCAGCAGGGCCCAGCGTGGCCCCTCGCTCTGCCCCAATCCCTCCTCGCTCTGGCCCAGTCCCTTTCCCTTCTGTCCCAGTGCCTCCTCACCTGTCCCAGTGCCTCCCCTCTCTGTCCCCAGTCCCTGGCCGACATCCTGCGTGCCCGGGGCCGGCTGCAGGAGCCGGAGGTGCGGTTTTACCTGCGCCAGGTGATCTCGGGGCTGCGCTACCTGCACGGACGGGGCCTGGTGCACCGGGACCTCAAGCTGAGTGCGTGAGGCACAGGGGGAAGGGGGTGACCCTGGGGGTGCCTGGGGTGTCCCACACCCCTGGGGTGTCCCACACCACTCATCCCTCTCCACAGGCAACTTCTTGGTGACGGGGAAGATGCAGGTGAAGATCGGGGACCTGGGACTGGCGCGGGGGGTGGCTCCGGCCGGGCGGCGCTGGGGGTGAGCTGAGGGGAAGGGGGGCTCACCCTGCCCGTGTCCCCGGGGTGCTCCTGGACAGGCCTTCATCCTGTCTGTCCCCCCCCCAGGGCGCTGTGTGGGACCCCCAGTTACCTGGCCCCAGAGGTGCTGGACCGCAGGGGACACGGGGTGGCCTCGGACATCTGGGCCCTGGGCTGTGCCCTGTAAGGGGGGACTTGAGGGAGGATTGGGGGGCTGGAGGGAAGATTGGGGGGCTGGAGGGAGGACAGGGGATGCTCCTGGGCCCCCTGGAGCAGCTGCACCCCCCCCCAGGTACACAGCCCTGACCGGCCGCCCCCCGTTCGAGGGGTCCCAGCGGCTGGAGCTGTACCAGCACATCCGGGGGGCTCGGTACCCACTGCCCCCCCAGCTCTCCCCCCGGGCCCGGGCCCTCCTCGCCCTCATGCTGGACCCCGACCCCACAGCACGGCCCAGCCTGCAGGACGTGCTGGACCACCCCTTCTTCACCCAGGTGTGGGGCTGGGGGGGCATAGGGGGGACAGGAGGGGGATGATACACACACAGGGGGGGTCACTGCCTGTCCCTCCCCAGGGTTTCACACCCCACAGGCTCCCGCCCCGCGCCTGCCACTCCATGCCCCTGTTCCTGGGACAGGACCCCCTGTGCCGGCTGCTGCAGCACTGCTGGGGGGGTGGCTGGGCCCCTGGCACCCCAGGAGGGGCCGTGTCCCCCCCCACCCAGAGGAGCAGCTCCCTCGACAGGACCCAAGCCAGGCAAACATCGGCGGAGGAAAACCTTTATTAGTGCTGGGAACCGTCTAAAATCCAGTCATGGAGACAAGCGGGGTGGGGACGTGACCGGGACCAACGGCACACACACACCAGCCTGCCCTTAAAAACCTTAACAGGAAGAAAAAAAAAAAAACGAAATCCAAACGCAAAAGGGAGCTCTCTTCCCTGCCAGCCTGGGATGGGGTGGGGTGGGGAGGTGCAGCTCCAAGGAGCCGTGTCCTGGTGCTGCTCCTGGGGGTCACCAGGTCACCCTGCTCTGCCTCCGGCCCCAGCAGCAGTGGGGACACTGGAGAGGGGACAGAGGGACCTGTGGGCTGGGAAGGAGGGAGGAAAGTGCATGGTTTCCCTGCTCAGCTTCAGTTCTCTCTCTCTTGAGAGAAGAGTCTGGAAGAAAACGCTGAAAGCTCAGTAAAACATGACACTAAAATCACCCACAGCCTCGGTGGGGGGGCTGGGACCACCCCCCTAAGCCTAAAACACGGGAGGGGACAAGGACAAGATGCTCAGTGTGACCCCAGAAAGCACCAAGGAGCCACTTCCCTGCTCAGGGACCCGCCAAGTGTCAGCACCGGAGGGGACCAGCGAGGGGGGGGTGTCACCAGCAGGGTCTGGGGGAGGGAGGCGACAGCAACGACTTTGTCTGCACTTGGGGTGAGCCCTCTGGTGAGAAAGGCCAGAGGAGAGGGAACAGGGGCCAGCCTGGCTGGGGGAACACGGCAGCTCCCAGGCAGGGGGACGGGGTGGCGGGTGTGAGTTTGGGCACTCGGCTCTCACTCGTGTCCTCAAACCACGGCAGGGGGGACCCCACAAAGCCCAGCCCTCCTCGGAGCTCCTGAGCCCCAAAGAGGAGGCGGCTGGAAACCTCTCCCAGCTGGCACGTGATTCCTCCCTGAGCAAACCCCGGCCCGGCCTCTGCCCTCGGGGTCAGGGCTCCACCGGGCCCTGCCCTGGCACGGGGCCCTTGTGCCACCACACCCCGAGGGTCCTCGGGGACAGCCAGGGGACAGGTGGCCCGGCCTGGCTGATCCCCAGGCAGGGCACAGGCCTGGCCGCTGTCCTTGCCCGTGGCGCTGCAGCCCCAGGCCTGGCACGGAGCCCGCGGGGTATTTTTATCCCGGCATGGCATCCGTGTTGTTTGAAGCTGTCGGCTTGTTTTTGTGGTCATAAACACGGCCCTCCCCTGTCCCGCCCTGGCAGCAACAGCAACACCCTCCCCTGCCACAGCCCGAGCCCGGCAGGCACCGGGATGGCTCTGGGATGGCCCTGAGATGGCCCTGGAATGGCCCTGGAATGGCCCTGGAATGGCCCTGAGATGGCCCTGGAATGGCCCTGGGATGGCCCTGGGATGGCCCTGGAATGGCCCTGGAATGGCCCTGGGATGGCCCTGGGATGGCCCTGGAATGGCCCTGGAATGGCCCTGGGATGGCCCTGGGATGGCCCTGGGATGGCCCTGGCAGCCCCAGCACAGCCTGGGGGAAGGTACAGCCCCCCTCCAGATACCTGGCAGCACAGGGGGTCCAGCCATGCCCCCCAAACCCTGCTCTGGGAACACCAGCAGCAGCCACCCCCTCCCAGGCAGGAAGGGCCGAGGGGCTCAGGGCAGGATGTCCTTCCTTGGGTTTTAAGCTCTGGGATCTCCCCATCCTTATTCCACAGCCAACAGCTGCCCAAAGATGGGGAGAGCGGGGCTCGCTGCCCTTGTTTGGTGCTCAGGACAGTTCCATCTGTCCTGGGGCACAAACCGAGCCAGGGGGAAACAACAACGGGGGGGGGGGGAGGAAATTCTGGTTTCTTAAAAAGACGGGATTTAAAAACAGCGACCCAAGTTTGGGAACTCCTCTCCCCCTCCTCCCCGGCGCTCAGTGAGGCTCAAACTCCCCCTCGTGCAGGAATCAGGTTCAAAGTTCAGCCAATCAGCGTGGGTGACCCACAGTCCCATCCCCAGCGGGGGTGACAAGGGCAGGTCACCCCCCTGTCACTGCAGAGCCCAGAGCCCAGGGTGGGCTCAGGGTGGGACCCCGGAGGGGCAGCTCAAGGCAGGGGTGGCCCAGGGCGGGTTTGGTGGCAGGTCCCAGGTGAGGGCAGGGGCGTGGGCGGGGGCTGCAGGGGGGCCTCAGCAGCCCGAGGGCAGCGAGCTGCTCTCCACCTTCAGTCCTTTGCTGGCCAGGAAGGCGTCCTGCTTGGGCTCCCGGCCCAGGAACTTCCTCAGCATGTCGGAGGCATCCACGGAGCCGCCGGGGTGCAGGACACAGTTCCTGTAGTCCATCCCCACCTGTGAGCAGAGACGGGGCCCGTGAGGGACACCCGCCCTCGCCCGCCCCGGCCGCCCCCGGGGTGGTGTCCCTACCTTGCAGTTCATGATGCCCTCCTGCTTGAAGCGGGTGTGGAACATGTCCATGGAGAACACCTCGCTCCAGAGGTAGCCGTAGTACTGCGCGTCGTAGCCCCCGGCCAGGTGGCCGAAGGTGGCCGGCATGTTTGTCCCTGCGGGGCGGGGGAGGGAGGGGGGTTATGGGGATTTCATAGCATGGAAACACCCCCACCCTGCTGTCACTGTGTCACAGCAGGCACTGCCTCAGCTGGTCACAAGCCCGGGGCACGCAGGGAAGCGCCTTCCAGTCCCTTCTGCGCGGTTCAGCCCCGCTTTCCCCGGAGCCAGCACAAACTGTCCCCGCTGAGCCAGCCTGGGAAGAGCCTGCTGAGCCAAGGGTGGGACAGGAGGGTGGGACACCCGTACCTGGGGTGGCAGGGACACCCAGCACCTCTTCACACAGCTGGGCAAACACCTCCACGGGGTCGGCCTTGGTCTGGGTGTGCAGCGCCTGGTCCACCTTGGCCAGGACAATCTGGCGCAGGTTGAAGAGTCCTGTTCCAAAAAGGAGGAGGAGGAGGCAAACTGAGCTCCTGCTGGCAGGAAGGACCAGAATCCTGCCTGCAGGAGTGCCACTGAGGCCAGTGGCAGCAGGACAGGCTGGGGGCCTGGCACCTCTTGTCACTGTGCCACCTCCCAGCCCACGTCGTGCCACGCCACCCTCGCCCTTCCCAGGTGAACACCAGGCAGGTGTGGCTCCTTCCCCCAATCCCCTCGGACCCTCCAGCACCACGGGGAGCCAGGCAAAGCCCTGCTCCTCAGGGAGCACCCAGCCCCCTCAGCGGGGACCCACCCGTGTTTGCCTGCCGGGATTTAATGAGCTTCTCCAGCAGCTCATCCGGGATGGGGCTGCCCGTTTTGTAGTGCCTGGACATGCGCAGCAGCGGCTCCTTCTCCCACACCCAGTTCTCCAGCATCTGGGACGGGGCCTCCACGAAGTCCCTCTCCACGTGTGTCCCGCTGAACATGGCAAACTCCGCCTGGGAGACGCGGCGAGCTCAGGGACGGGGGAGCAGGACGGGGCAAAGGTCCCGACCCCTGCCGGCACGGGGAGGCCTCACCTGGGAGCACAGCTGGTGCATGACGTGCCCGAACTCGTGGAAGTACGTCTCCACCTCGTCGTGCTGCAGCAGGGAAGGCGCGTCCGGCGTGGGCTTGGTGAAATTGGCCACCATGGCGGCCACCGAGATCTGCCGGCTGGAGTCGGGCAGGAGGCAGCCCGGCTGCAGGCCGAAGCAGGCAGCGTGCCCGTACTTCCCTTCCCTGGGACAGGCAGAGGACACTCACAGGGATCCCCTCCACGGCCTCCCCAGCCTCTCCAGGAGCAGGAGCCCTGGAGACCCCCCCGTGCTCCTGGGACTTCCTGAGCACACGCCTGGGAGCAGGACCTTGCTCTTCCTCGGGCTCTGCTGCCCAGCCCAGCCCTGCTCCCCTGTCCCTCCTCGCCCAAGGCCTCACCGTGGGTACAGGTCCAGGTAGAACTTGCCGATGGTCTCTCCAGAGGACGTGTCCTTCACCGTGTAGAGCTGCACGTCCTCGTGCCACACCGGCGCCTTCTCCTCCAGGTGGAAGGTGAGCCCCAGCAGCTCCTGGTAGATGGCCAGGAGGCCCGTGGTGACCACTTGCATGGGGAAATACTCCTTCAGCAGGTTCTGATCCACGCTGTACTTGGTCTCCTCCACCTGGTTCATGTAGTAGCGCATGTCCCAGGCGTTGATGCGGTTGTCGAACTCCAGCCCGCGCTTCTCGCACTCCTTCTTCTTCAGGTCCAGGATCACGGCCCGCTCCTTCTCCCCGAGCGGCTTCAGCTTCTGGGCCAGCTCATCTGGGAGAGGCACAGCGGGCAGGGTTGGCACCCGTGCTCAGGGGAGCACACCCGGCCCAGGAGGCCCCCGCTGTGCCCCAGGACGTACCCAGGAACGTGGCCACCGTGGCGCTGCTCTTGGCCATGTTCATCTCCAGCACGAAGTCCGCGTGGGTGCTGAAGCCCAGCAGGTTGGCCTTCTGAGCCCGTAAATCCACCAGCTCCTTCAGGATCAGGCAGTTCTCCTGCAGGGCACAGACAGAGGGGAGCGGGGCATCCAGGTGGGAGAGGAAGCAGGAGCTCTCCCGAGGGAAGAAGCACAAACCCCAGGGGAGATCCCCCCCCTGCCCCCTTGTCCTGGCATCCCATCTGCCCCACCTACCTCTTTGCACCTGGAGTTGAACATCTCCTCCACCTTCCTCCTCGTCTCGGGCACGTAGCACTTCTTCAGCAGAGGGAAGTAGTGTGGGTATTTCAAGGTGACCTTCAGCTTTCCATCCTCTGTCTTCTCCAGGGAGTTCAGGAAATCCTCAGGGAGCCCCCCTGGGAAAAGAGCAGAGAGGGCTGAGGGGAGAGCCCAGGATCCCCCAGGAACACCAGCTCTGGGAAAGGGGCACAGGAAGAGGGAGCCAGGAATCATGGCCACAGCAGCACAGAGCTCTCCATACCCAATTCCTCCTTGGAGAAGGGCAGGAAGGTGGTGTCTTCGTTGAGGTTCTTGTTGAAGTCAATGCACAGGACACTCAGCTTTTTCTTAATAGCTTTGATTTTCTTTAAAATGCAGATAAACAGAGCAGAGTCAGCGGCAGGGGGGAAGCCAGGCTGTGCCCTGCTGAGCTGCCCAGCACTGAGCCCGCACTTGGCTCTGATTCAGCCCCAACACTGCACAATTAATGGTGTGCCAGCACCTGGAACAGGCTCCCTGGGATCACACCTGCTGGGAACCAGCCACCTCAGCAAGGTCCAGCTCAGCAGCTGCAGGTGCTTCAGCAACAACCTCCTCTACCCTCATTTTTCACCTTCTCGTCTGTTTTTAACCCAGATTTGAGCTCCTTCACTGGTGCGTGGTAAGAGAGGGAGACCCTGGGCAGCTCCATCCCCTCCCTCCAGCCCTTTGCCTGAGGTGCTACTTCCAAGGCCAGGCTGGACAGGGCTTGGAGCAACCTGGGATAGTGGAAGGTGTCCCTGCCCATGGCAGGGGGATGGGATGGGATGGGATGGGATGGGATGGGATGGGATGGGATGGGATGGGATGGGATGGGATGGGATGGGATGGGATGGGATGGGATGGGACGGGATGAGATGAGCTTCCATCCAACCCAAACAACCCTGGAATTCTGTGAGCTCACCTCCTGTGTCTCCTCGGGCAGATGGAGCCCGTTCCTCTTTCCCAGCTTGATCAGCCTCTCCAGGTACCTCTTTGCCTCGGGTTTCAGGGAAGCACTCTCTGCTTTCTCCTGGAAAACAGCGCTGTGAGCTCGGGGAGCTGCAGGCCCAGCTGCTGCAGGGAGCTGCTCTCTGGTGGGAGCTGTGGCTTATGGGAACACCCCCAGGGAAGGCTTTGGCTTGGTGCACTGGTTCCTGCCAGGCTGCTTGAAATACGTCCCTTTCCTGCTGTATCACAGGGTTTCTGGGGGCATCACCTGCCCCCTCCCCACCTCACCTTGGCTGGGCTTACCACCACCACCTCAGCTCATCAAAGGGGTGAGGAAGGCCCTGGGAGGGGGGCAGAGCCCTCAACCCCCAGTTTTCCAGCTCTCATGAACAGCTGGATCCCTCTGCCGCGCTCACACCGAGATCCCGTTCCAGGACTTACTCAGCATCACTCCCTCCCAAGGCACGAGGGCACAGGCTTTGCTGGAACCCCAGGAGGCCTCAGCTGCCCTGCTGGGAACACACCTGGAGCCAGACAATCCTCTGGTACACGTCCTGCCTCATGCTCATCTCCACATCGAACTCGGAGAGCTTCTTGTCGGCCTCGGTGCTGGCGGCGCGGATGGCCTTGCAGGGGGACACGTGCTGGGGGAAATCCAGCATGTTCCGGCGCACTGGCGGGGAACAGGGACCGTGGCTCCACGTGCCAGGGCTGCTGGGCATGGCAGTGCCCACGCAGAGCCAGCCTGGCAGCCCAGGGCCCGACCCACCGCCCGCTCGAGGGAAGAGCGGCTCCCTCGTGCCGGGCACATCCATCCCCTGGGCTCCCACCACAGCACATCCTTCCCCCAGAACTCCCAGGAACTTTGTGCCTGTGAGACCCCAACCCCTCCTGCCCCAGCTGTGGCATCACAGGACTTGTGGGGTGTCCTGTGCAGGGCCCGGGGTTGGACTCGCCGGTCCCTTCCAGCTCCGGATATTCCAGGATTCCGTGCTGGAATATTCCCTGTGTGCCTCCCTGGGAGCTAAAAGTGGGACACAGGTGCTCCCCAAGAGCCACCAGGCCCCAGGTGCGCCCTGTCCTGATGCATTCCCGCTTGAGAAGGGAAAACAGGGAGGACATTCCCGCAGAGCCTCCGGTAGCAGCACTCCAGGTGCTCTCCAGGCTCCTGGACTCTCCCCTGGCAGAAGGGGAGCAGGGAAGTGCTGACAGAGGTGCTGAAGTCAACACTCCTCCTGCTTGCTAAGGGGTTTTTCCTCTTATTTTGGGAAAAAGGGCTGGGAGAGGAGGAAGACAAGGCTTGCAGGGTGGTGCCTGCTCCAGGCAGGAGTGACAGGGATCGGGATTGGGACAGAGACCCTGAGGAGCTGCCTGGATTGTCACTGTAAATAACCAGACAGGCAAAATAACCAAAACTGCATCACTTTGGTGCCACGGTGCCATCAGGACGTGTTAGCTTCCCAAAAATTCCAGCAGGCACACAGAAATACTTTTATCCACTGGCTTAGGGAAAAAATGAGGAAGGAGATGACGATTTCTTTGACCTTTTCTGCCGTTTGTTGCCACTGATGCTCCCTGACACATGAAAGCGGGGACAGCCTTGGGACTGTGGCTGCTCATCCTGCTACCAAAGGGGTGTCCTTGGCTTTGTTTGCTCCTCCCTTCCAAATCTTGCTCTTTGTACTCGTCCCTCGTCATATAAACATTAACCGGGAAAAAAACACCAGCACGCTGCTGGGAGCCAAGGGGAGAGGGCAGGAGGTGAAACCACCAAAAAACCCTTATTAACACAGAACCATGGAATCCTGGAGTGGTCTGGGCTGGAAGGGACCTTAAAGCTCATCCCAGGACATGGACAGGGACATCCTCCACTATCTCAGGTTGCTCCCCTCGCTGCTCCCACCTGTGTATTCCACCTCCACGTCCGCCAGGGCCTTCAGGGTGTTCTCGTAGGACACCTCGCCCCTCTCCTGGCTGCCCACCCGGTCGTACACGAGCTTGGTGCTCTCGGTGAGCTCTGCGGCCATGGCCTCGATCTGCTCGGCCGTCAGGTCCCAGCGCAGCTGGTTGGCCACGAGCCGGGGCGCCTGGCTGTCCACGACATTCCCTGGGGAGGGGGGAAGAGGGGCCGGGACATGTTCCCTTAACGCGGGCCGGAGTGGAAACCCGGCACTCGGGGAGAGGCCTGGCAGCCCCGCGGGGACGGGCTCCTCCGCGTCCCGGCAGGTGCCCGTGTCCTGCGCGGGGACAAGGCCCACGGGGCACGGAGGTGGCTCGGGGAGGGCAGCAGGACCCCACGGCCGCCCCGGGGGGGTGCCCCGGGCCCCCTCCTCCCGCCCCATCCCTCTGCCCTCACCCGCCCTGCCCGCGCCGCGCCGGCCCCTCGCCCTCGCCCCCACGTCCCCCCGCGGCCCCGCAGCCCCCCGCGGCCGGCGGTACCTGTGGGGGGGGCCATGCCGGCGGTGCCGGGGGTGCTGACGGGGCCGGGAACAGGCCGGGCCGGCGCCACGCACCGAGCATGTGCCCCGCGCGGGGAGGCGGGCGGGGACAGCGGGGCATTGTGGGAGCGTGGAGGACCGCGCCGCTCCCGCCTTCCCCGCGCGCCGCACCGGGGGCCGCAGGGAGGGGGGAAAGGCGGGGAATCCCCGCCGCGACCCTCAGAGCCGGCCCGGAGCGGGGCCGGGAGCGGGCGCGGAGCATCCCCGGGGTCCCGCCCGCCCGTTCCCATGGCAACGCCCCCGCCCGGTCGCCATGGCAACGCCCCGTCTCTATGGTACCGCCGGGGTGGGGCGGGGCGTGGAGTGCAAAGCCCCGCCCCTTTGCCGGCCGTGTAGGGGGGTGGGCGGGGTTATCGAGGCGCTTGCGCTCGGCGGGCCCGGCGCGTGCGCAGTGCGTGAGCGCGCCCGGCCCAGGCGAGTGTCGGGGTGTCCGGTGAGCGGGGCGGGACCGGGGACGGGAACGGGACACACCGGGACACACCGGGACACACCGGGACACGGCCCCGACAGCACCCGGCCCCGGGCACCGCCCGCGCCCGGCCCGCCGGCGGCAGCGGGAGCGAGAGCGGGGGGTGCCGGGGTACCCGGGAGCGGGGCGGCGGGAGGGACCGGGACCGGGCTGTCCCTCCCCATCAGGACCCTCCGCCCCCCGCCGGGCTGTACTCCCCGCGGGGAACCGCTCGCTCCGGTCCTGGTGGGGGCAGCGGGACCGGGGGCAGCGGGCCGGGATTACCGGGGGGTCCCGGGGCCCGGCGGGGTGTGGGGGTCTCGGTGCCGGGCCCGGTGCTGCTGCGGTGCCTCCCAGTGGGTCGGGCCCGGCTTAGCCGTGCCGGACTCTCCTTAAACCAGTTTAGTGTCTCAGTTAAACGCCCCTGGCTGTGCCACAAACCCAGTTCTGGCTCGGGGGGGGACCGAGCTCGGCTGCAGGAGCTGCATCCCGCGTCCTTCAGCACCTGCCTTGGGATCCCTGGGAATTCCCGGCCCCGGGATGTGCTTTTTTGGGGGGATCTCTCTGCTTTGGGTCCTCCCTCCCTTTCCCTGGCAGCCCTGCTCCCCGGCTCTGCTCGCAGGGGCAGAGCCCTTCAGCCCCTGGCTTTGGTTTCAGAACCGATCGTGCTCTGGGAGCAGAGAAGTGGGAGCTTTTGGTGGTGGAGTCTGGGTTTGTGTGTGCTGGTGTTTCGGTGCCTTAGAGCCCTGCAGGGCCTTTGAGTGTGTCCCTGGGCAGGAGCCCTTTGGGGCAGGACTGGGGGTGAATCCAGGCCTGGAGAGTTCCTAAAGGGGAGGGTCGTGGTGGCAGCAGAGTCTAATGGAGTTCTTTGGAATCTTTGGCCAGCCCTGAACAACCCTCTTATCCCCCAGAATCCATCCTGGGGTCCTGAACAACTCCCTTATCCCCCAGAACTCACCCTGAGGGGGAGCAGCAGCAAAGCTCCGGCTCCTGCTCTCTCCAGCCATGACTCTTCCATCTCCAGGTGTTTTTGGGAGCCCCCAGGAGTGCAGCCCAGCCCCCCAGAGCTCCCAGCATGGCAGACCAGAGGCGTCTGGCCTTCTCCATCATCCAGTTCCTGCACAACCAGCTGCAGAACGGGGGCATGTCCCCCGATGCCCAGGAGAGTTTGGAAGGTGGGTGGATGTGCCTGGGGATGCCTGTCCTGTTTCCTGCCCCTGGCTGAGCTGGGCTGTTCCTGACACCAAACCCTGCCGGAGATTTGGGGATCATTTGTCCCCTGGAGAGGTGTCCAGGGGTGCTGATTCCTTGTCTGCTCTCTGAGCTCTTTCAAAAGCAGATTAGCCCGAGGCAGGGATGGACCTGGGGTCAAAAACCTCCCTGACCCCGGGCTGGAGACTTACAGGGTTGGTTTGGGACGAGGTGGAGGCTCTTGGGGAGGTGTAAAAGGAGGGTTTTCGTGGCTGCAGGGAAGTGCTTTGTGCTTGGAGGGCGGTTTTCCCTCTTCTGCCCTCCAAGTGCTGCTCCCCAGGGTTTGTCCAGGCCCTTTCAGAGGGAAGGAGAGCACAGGGATCTTAAAAAAGGTCTCCTTAAGGAGCTTAAGGTTTAGTCTTTGGCCAGTGCATTTGTCCCAGGGAGAGGAGCAGGGGCACCTCTGTGGGGAGGGGGGCTGGGTGCCAGGAGGGGGCAGCTCCTGGTGCTTTGGGCTGTGAAGGGTGCCCAGCTCTGAGGTCCTGGCAGAATTTTATGGCCATGGCCCAGATCTGTGGGAAAGGTGTGGTTTGGGGGTTGTTTTTTTTCCCCCAGTTGTTTTAGAGCAATCCCACTGCTGAGGGTCAGGGCTGAGTGTGTGGGGTGGGGAGAGCTAATGACCTGCCTCTCCCTGTGCAGTGGCCATCCAGTGCCTGGAGACAGCTTTTGGGGTGTCCATGGAGGACCAGGGCCTGGCTGTGTCCCAGACTCTCCCCGAAATATTCGAGGCTGTTGCAGGGAAGGTGAGTGAGGGCCCCGACAGGCTGAGCTGCCTCCCCTGCAGCCCCAGCACCGAGTCCTGCTGGAACTCCAGGAGGCTGTGTGAGAGGGGAGTGTTTCGGGCTCGGATGTGCCTGGGAAGGGGGAGGTGTGGGAACCCTTATCTGAGCTTCTCCCTGTCCCTGGAAGGAGCTGGAACACAGCAGGACGAACTCGGAGCCCATCACCCCCTCTGAGGACGACGTGGCTGAGGCTGAGAGGCTCAAGACCGAGGGTAACTCCCCTGGGGCTGGGGGGTGACGAGGCTTTGGTGGGGACTGGGAAGGAGTCTGAATTCCCTGGCCCCTGGGGAGTGCTTGGGATGGGGAAGCAAAGGGAATGGCACAGGTGGGGAGGTTGGCACAGCAGCCTGCAAGTGCTGGGTCGGCCTTTCCCTTCATCCCAGGGTGTGTGGGATCTGGATCCAGGCCTCTGGCTTGGCTCTGGCCCTGTTTGTCCCTTGCTAACCATGGGTTTTCCACCGTGGTTTTAGGAAATGAGCAGATGAAGGCAGAAAACTTTGAGGCTGCTGTGTCTTTTTATGGCAAAGCCATCGAATTAAACCCGGCCAACGCTGTGTATTTCTGCAACAGGTACTGGAGCAGCTTCCTCAGGGCCTTTCACCTTAAATCCAGGGCTCCTCAGTGTTCAAAATCCCCTTTTTTTTTTTTTTTATTTTTTATTTTTATGATCCTGTGGGATTCTCGCTCTGTTCCTGGCTCGCTGCGTGGTTTGAGCTCACCATAACACACTTCCCTGTGCCTCCTGGCATCTCTGGCTGGGATGTGGGTGTGGAAATGACCTTTATTAGGCATTTGGGGGGGATGAGGGATGCCAGGAAAGGATGTCTGCCTCCATGCAGTTATCTCTGAGTGGGATGGAGAGGCTGGCTGGGAATAGGGGAGTGGAATGAGGGGAGCTGAGGGCTCATCACTGAGGGTTATACAGGTTGGTGTGTGCAGAGCTGGCTGGGGAAGTGGAGTTCTGTGTTCTTCAGTTCTGGGAAGCGTTTTGGAAGTTGGTGGGGAAGCAGTTGTTGGGTAAAACAGGCTCTGAGTCGGGGTTTGATTTGATTGCCTGCTTGCTGTGGGCACACAGGGGCACCTGGCCCCAGGAGCAACACACACCGATGATGTGGGGGGTGGTTTTGGGCTGGAAACTGGTGCTTTCAGCTGAGCTCTGTGTGAGTGTGTTGGTGCCACGAGGTTCTGGGCTGGGAGGGGACGTTGAGGCTTTGCTGAGCGTGTGGTGGCTTTAAAAGCAGTTTTGCCTCTGCGTGGGATGTGGGGAAGTGGATGGGAATGGTTGTTGTGTCTGAGAAACTGAGGGATAAGGGAGAACCAGGTTTCTCTGAGTTGGCAAGAGATCCTCCTGTGGGAATGTCCTCAGGAGGAGTCCCAGCCTGGGTTTGGGATCCCAGGGCAGGGAGCTGGGGTCGGGATGGCCCTCCCGGATGGGGCTGGGACGGGTTCAGCCTCACCCCCCACTGCCCCCTGTACAGCAGAGGGGGAACAGGGGAACTTCCCTCAGCCTGTTCCAGCTGCTCAGTGCTCCCTGCCCCTTCTCCCTGCCCTCCAGAGCTGCTGCCTACAGCAAACTTGGGAATTATGCAGGAGCAGTGAGGGACTGTGAACGGGCCATCGGCATCGACCCCAACTACAGCAAAGCCTACGGCAGGATGGGGTGAGTGGCAGCAGGACTGGGGCTGGAATTCCACTCCCTGGGCCACCTCTGTGCTCTGCCCTGCAGTGCCAGGGAGGGATCCCTGCTGTTCCAGCCCTGGGCAGGCTGGGAGGGCTTATCTGACTGGGGTTTGCTGTTCCTTTCCCAGCCTGGCCCTGTCCAGCCTGAACAAACACACAGAAGCTGTCGTGTACTACAAAAAGGCCCTGGAGCTGGACCCAGACAATGACACCTACAAATCAAACCTTAAAATAGCTGAACAGAAGATGAAGGAGACTCCCAGTCCGGTGAGTTGTGCAGCTGATTTGTCAGTTCAGGTTTTAGGGGGAGGTTTCCTCACCCCACAGGTGCCAATGATCCTGCTGGGAACATTGCACTGGAACCCGGAGAGGGGAAACAGTCACCTTGGGCTTGTTTGAAACAGCTGGAAAATGAGACTGGGGAGGGTTTTAAAACAGCATTTTTGCCTTAAGCAGTTTTTTTAATTAAATTGCTGCTAAATCCAGCTCCTTTATTTTCCCAGTGACCTGTTAGCAGCACAAAAAGGGATTTTAGGGGGCTCTTTTTTTCTTACAGAGATGGTTCTCTTGAAAAGAAACCTGGAGGTTTCCCAGCCAGGGAGCTGCTGGCTGCACTGCTGACCTGCTCCAGGCAGGACTGTGTTAGCTGATTATTTTGGAAGGGATTTTAACTTTCCAGAGGCATTTCCAGTGCAGGGGTGGGGGAGGGAGGTGTTTAATTTGGGAGCTGGGTCTCAGAGGGGGTGAGGAATGGAAGATGTCCCAGGGGGGTGGGACTGGGTGATCCTTTAGGTCCTTCCAGCCCAAACCATTCTGAGGTCCCTTGATGTGATCCCGCGATTCCCAGACTCTGGGAATGAGGTTTGGAAGTGAGGGGTGTCACCAGCAGCCCGTGGCTTCTCTGTTGCAGACTGGAGGCCCGGGAGGATTCGACTTGGCTGGGCTGCTGAACAACCCCGGCTTCATGAGCATGGTAAGCCCAGGCACAGATCCCAGCAGGGCTGCTGGGCTTGAATTCCCTCAGGGTGTGGCCCCAGTGCCTCCTCAGATGAGCCTGCTCTCCCTGGCTCCACTGCTGCTCTAGGGAAGCTGCTGGTGTTTCATTAAAGCTCCAATGAAAAGCCAGGGATTTACTCACTGTGGAGGGGCCTGTTGTGCATTAGGGCCTGTTCTGGTGTTGTGCTCTGCTCCTCCCTGTGCTGTTTTGGTCCTTTTGCTCCGTTTCAAAGCCTTTCTGCCTTCGCTTTGGGGTTGAGGGGCACAACATCTGCACAGCTCCCCCGTCTCTGACTAAACTGGGGGTTGTTCTTTCTCCTCTCCCAAAACAGGCGTCGAATCTGATGAACAACCCACAAGTACAACAGCTGTAAGTTGGATCCTGCTTGTGTTTCCTCTTGGAATGGCTCATTTGAGGCTCTCTGGGTGTGTTTGGCACTTGCTGCAGGTCTGGGCTGGTGGGAGCAGGAGGGAACTTGGGGGCAGGAGTGTGGGGGGAGCCTTCACACAGAAGGGGGAATCTGGGAACACAGGGACTGACAACTTTAGGAACATTTTTACTTATTGTGCAGCTTAATGTTCCTCTTCTGCAGATGAGGAATGAAAAGTTGTTGCAGGGGATTCCCTTGCAGATAATCCCTAATCCACGGGATGGGAAGGTGTTCCCGTTCCTTTGTGCTCTGGCGTAAACCAATTAATTTTGGTTTGTTTGTTTTTTGTTTGTTTCCTGCTCTGACTCTTCTCCCCCACAGCATGTCTGGGATGATTTCAGGAGGCCACAACACCATGGGAGCCACGGGCACCAGCCCCTCCACCAACGACCTCGCCAGCCTGATCCAGGCGTGAGTGGAGCTCTGGGGCTCCAGGGCCTGGGGACGGGGGCTTGGGGGTGCCCAGAACCTTTAAGATGTTGGGTGAGGTTGTGGCTCTTTGGGTGGTGGGAACTGCTGGCTGAGTGGCCTTTTGGGGTCCTGAGCAGACCTTGGTTCAGCGCCCGGGGGAGGTTTCAGTGTTGGGTTCTCCGGCGTTCCCGGGGGTTTTGGGAGCTGCTCAGTGGGGTTGTGACAATGGGCTGGGGAGCGTTCCCAGCCCCAGGCTGTGCTGGGGGGGCGAGAGCTCTGGTCCCACCCGTGTCCCCCCTGTGTCCCCTGTCCCTCAGGGGCCAGCAGTTTGCCCAGCAGATGCAGCAGCAGAACCCTGAACTAATAGAGCAGCTCCGGAGCCAGATCAGGAGTCGAACTCCAAGTGCCAGCAACGAGGACCAGCAGGAATGAGCTCTCCAGGTGAGATTCCAGCCAGGAATGCTGGGCCAGCTGGCTGGGGGTTGAGTTTAACTGATTTCTAATACACTTTGTGCTTTAATTGAGCCTTTGGTGCCTCTCTGGGGGCCAGAGGGGTCACCTCACCTTCTCCCACCCTGGGGACCCACAGACCAGTCTGGGCTCCGTGGTTAAAAACCCAAATGGTTCCACTTTAATTTTAATTTTTATAAAGTTTTTTTACTAAATTAATTTTTTTTTTAATGAAAGGAGTGGGGTTTTTTCACTAAAGAAGTTTGTGGTTTTTTACTGAAGAAGTTTTTTGTTTTTTGATTTTTGTTTTTTTTTGCTGAAGGAGTTGTTTGTGTTTTTTTTCATCAAACTTTATTAAAATGGCTAAACTTCCTTTCCTCCCAGGTTGAATTTGCCCCTCTCTCCTCTCCTTCTCTCCGCAGCACAGCCCGGGGGAACTTTGGTGTTTGCTTTAAAAACTGGAAGCCATGTGCGTGTTGCCATTTCTTGAGTTGGAAGTGTCCAAGAAGGGGGGGAAATATGATGGAAAAAAAAAAGAAAAAAAACCAAACCCCAAACCCCTTTCTCTGACCTGCATGTTCAAGACAGACTCACTCTCTGTCCCCGGTCCTCGGCCCTGCTCCCCCCTCTCACCCTTCCCATTCATCCTTTTCCTCCTGGAAGAGCCAGCAGGCTGAACACAGACCAGCATCGAGGCTTTCTAACAGAACTGGGGGACCCACATGGATGCAGTTCCATGGGATTTGCTCCCTTGGGGATTTTTTTTTTTTTAACCCATTTTTGAAGACCGAAGCCCCCGTCACTCCAGGACTCCTCAGCTCTCCTGCCCCTGGGCCACTTCCAAGAAGTGTTGAAGCCCCTCCTAACCCAGTCCTGCCGCTCGTGAGACAACGTTGTGACCTCTCTGGAGATCCTGGGATCTCGTGGCCTCCGGGATTTTGGTTCATTAGCGGGACTGCAGTCCCCGCTCGGGGCTGGGGCGGCTTTGCCAGCGTCGTTATCCCGGCAGTTTGGTGCTCCCCTCTCCCAGGTAAACGTTGGGGGGGAAGCTGGGACTGGACAGGCAGAACGTCCCCACGTGCTCCTCGTGCACGTCTTGGGGTTCATTCTCCCGGAAAGTCCTGACGAAGCTTTAGGAATTCTGGCTGTGTGGGAGCGATCGGGGTCGGCTCGGACGGTGAGGGAGGTTAAAGGTGTTTTTCGTGTTTAAAAGGAGTTTTTCTTGTTTGTTTTTTTTTTTTTTTATTTTAAATCTTTTCTGCATGTAAGTAACCACCTGGCTGACTGTGCTCGTGTAGGGATAGAGGTGGCCAGGGTAGAGCAGAGGGAATAAAACGTTTGGATCAAGGAAACAAGTGGCTGCTGGTTCAACCGTGAGGGGCTGGGGAGGGAGAAGCCCCTGGAGCCGCCTCAGGCCCCGCCTTGGGTGAGCCCAAAGCTCCCCAAAAGTACCTTACTGAGGCCAGAGACTTTTCTATCCACTCGGGCTCAGTCTGAAAGCAGTTTTTTGGGAGTGGTGGGGCAGGGAGGGGGAAGGTGGGAGGTGGGCGAGGCCCTGGGGAGCCCTGCGGGAGTGAGCAGGGACGGCGGGAGATGAATATCATGGCAAAACTGACCTGTAAATGCTCCATGAAGTTACTGTGGTTCATGTCACTTGTGAGGAATAAACCATTTGGACACTTTTCGTTGTTCTCCCTCGTGCCCGGGTGGCTCAAGGGGCCCCTTCCCAGAGGCTTCTGTGGGGTCAGGGCTCTGCTCCCCCAGGGCTGGGGCACATTTTGTCCCCCTCTGCCCTCTTGTTTTTTTGTTCTTCCCTGCTGGAATTCTCATCCCGTGTGTTTCTGCAGCACAGAAATAGGAAATCTTTCTCTCCAGCTGCTCTTTGCAGCCCGACAAAAGGGGTTTTACACTCCAGCACAGCACGGGAAGAAAATGTACCCAGAATTATCCAAAAAGAAGAAACCACGGGTGGTTCCCCCCTCCCTGTTTTCTGCTCATTTCAGTGCTGTTCCCTTCCCTTGCCCTCCTTGTCCTTTTGTAACTTGTTCTCTTTCTCCGCCTCTCTTGGTTTTCTTTTCACACCTCTGAGCTCCGCGTGCAGCTTTCCAGGGGGAATTGCTGCTGCCCTGCAGGGCCGTGGCCGGTCCTTGATGCCTGCTTTTTAACTTTTCCTGCCAGACTCCCACGTTCCCCAGCTCCTCTGGGAGCCGACAGCGAAAATAATGGAATTTTACGGGATTTTTAGGTTCCCTTCAGCTCTCGCCGGGGGGGGCTGCAGTTTTGTGCGCTCTAACCGCAAGCAGCTGGAAAGCTGTAAGAGCAGGGGCTGGCGGGTGGAGGGCGCTGTCCCGGGGGGGGTTTCCCATTCCCGGCTCTCCCGGTTCCCGCCGCTCCCGCTCAGCACCGGACAGCGCTGCGGTCCCGCCGCTGCCCCGGAACCCGCGGTGGGGGGGCCGCGTTTCCCGCGGAGCTCAATCCCGGCCGCGCCCCGGCGGGTTGATGGGCGGCTCGCGCGGCCAATCAGCGGCCGGCTCTCCGGCGGCAGCCAATGGGAGCGCGTCGTGGGCGGGCGCGAGCGGGGCGGCCGGGCCGGGGAGCGGCGGGACCGGCCGTGAGTGAGGGGGGGGCGGTTACCGGGGCAACGGGAGGTGAGGGGGGGCCGAGGGGCGTCGGGAGGGGATGGAGGGGCCGGGAGGGGACACGGAGGGGTCATAGCGGGGGTGGGGGAGCCGGGGGGGTGTGGGGGACAGGGCCCCCCTCCCCGTCTGAGGGTTCAAGAGGGATCCTGGGCCTGTGTGAGGGGCTGGGGCCGGGCCCCTCCTCGCCTTGAGGGGCCTTGGGTGGACCCCAACCCCTTGTGACGTGACCTCAAGGGGTTTCAGGGCTTGGAAGTGCTGGGACAAGCGTGGCTGTGGGGAAGGCGTCCTGTTTTCAGCAGAAAACCTGGGATTTAGGGGTTGGCGGATCAGGACACCCTTTGCTTTCCCTCCCACAGGGCCCCGCCTGCTTTACAGAATACTTCTCGTTCCTCGGATGCTTCATTCTGTGCCACTAATCCGAGCACTACCTGAGCTAATCCTTCCTTCCAGGCTGGTGCCACAGCCTGGGTGTCGGTGCTGCTGCTGCAGGAGCAGCTCAGGAGAGCCACCAGGTATTCCTGGGGATTCCTTTTCCTCTGGAATGCTTCCAGCCCTGCTCAGGGACACTGGCTGCAGCTGCACTCAGGAGCTCGAGGCTCTGGCGGGGGCTGGTTTGGGTTGAAATCAGGAAAGAGAGGGAAAACCCTGAGGTTGGGAGGTTTCTGGGAGGCAGCCAGAGGTGTGGGTTTCTTTCCTCGTGGTTAAAACCCGGCAGCTGACCCACTGGTTGGGCTCAGCCGGGTCCCACAGCAGGACTGGGGCGTTTCCCTGTCACAGGGTGGCTGTTCCAGATAAAACCTTTTAAAAGCTTGGCTGTTTTGGGGTGGCCCCAACAACTCATTTACAGGGATTGTTAATTCCAGCAGCGCTTCCAGGTTGCTTTTTTACTGCAATTACGCTTTTCCCTGGCGGTTCCCGTGGGTCATAAAGGCAAGCTCCCTGCTTTCCCCCCTTCCCACAGGTGCTGACCCCGGGAGCAGCTTTCCCTGGGGGTGTGTCCGTGCTCATGTGCCCGCCCTGAGCCCCCCCCAGGATGAGGATCGTGGTGGCCAAGGTGCTGTGCCTGCTGGGCATCTGTGTGCTGGTGCTGGCGGGGGCCCTGCTGCCCGTGAGGCTCATCCAGGCCGACCACGAGAAGGCTCAGCACTCCAGGAAGGTCCTGGCCCTCTGGAATTCCTTCGGAGGGGGCGTCTTCCTGGCCACCTGCTTCAACGCCCTGCTGCCAGCTGTGAGGGGCAAGGTGAGTGCTGGCCATGCCCCTGCAGGGTCCCAGCCCTCCAGGGAGTGGGGGTGAGGAGGGGTTTGTGTCCAGCTGGACGTGGAGCCCCCTCAAACCTCTGTGCCTGATGCCCTCATATGGTGAGGGTGAGCTGTGCCCACCTCCCTGCCCTCCTGCTGGCTGCCCCCACGGGGTCACTGGGGCTTTGGGGCATTTTTGGGGGGGTGAGGATCCCAACCCCATGTGTTTGGAACGTGGGAAGGCAGAAGGATCCCCTGTCTCGTGGCAGGGTCTCCAAGGGTGTTGGAGCATCCTGGATCGGTCCAGCACCCCCGTGGGGCTGTGTGAGCACAGCGGGAATGTTCCCCCTGGAGGGAGGGATTCACTGTGGATCCTTTGCCTCCCCCCAGCTGGATGAAGTCCTCAAGCAGGGGAACGTGACCACGGACTACCCGGTGGCCGAGACCATCGTCATGGTTGGCTTCTTCGTCACGGTCTTCGTGGAGCAGCTGATCCTGAGCTGCCAGAAGGAGAAGCCCTCCTTCATCGACCTGGAGACCTTCAACGCGGGCTCGGACGGCGGCAGCGACTCGGAGTACGAGAGCCCCTTCATCGCCTCTCCCCGGGGCCGGGCCCTGTACGGGGAGCACGGGGGGCACCCCCCGCACCTGAGCCTGCCCGAGCTGTCCCGCTCCGGCCCCCTGCGCCTGCTGGGGCTGGTCTTCGCCCTGTGCACGCACTCCATCTTCGAGGGGCTGGCCCTGGGGCTGCAGGAGGACGGCGGCAAAGTCATCAGCCTGTTCCTGGGCGTGGCCATCCACGAGACGCTGGTGGCCGTGGCGCTGGGCATCAGCATGGCCCGGGCCGCGCTGCCGCTCCGGGACGCGGCCAAGCTGGCCCTGGCCGTGTGCCTCATGATCCCGCTGGGAATCGGCGTCGGGATGGGCATCCAGAGCGCCCGCAGCGCCGCCGGCGACGTCGTGTCCCTGCTCCTGCAGGGCATGGCCGGCGGCACCTTCCTCTTCGTCACCTTCTTCGAGATCCTGGCCAGGGAGCTGGAGGACAAGAGCCAGCGGCTGCTCAAGGTGCTGTGCCTGGTGCTGGGCTACGCCCTGCTGGCCGGGCTGGTGCTCATCCCGTGGTGAGCCGGGGCCCTCGGCACGCCAAGCTCGCCGGGAGCAGCCGCCCCTCCCGCCGCAGGGAGGCCGGAGCACCGCGGGCAGGGGGGACAGCCCAGCACAGGGGGCCCTCCCGAGGTTACCTGCAGGAGGAGGATTTCTTCCCACATGCTCACAGGGAGATGATGAGGAACGTCCCGAGGGGGTGTCCCTGGAGATCAGCTGGCACAAACTATAAGGACCTGGTTAAAGGCTGCTTCCGAGAGCTCCTCGAGTGTGTGTGGCTTCCTGCAACCTCCACAATGCCCCTCTCCCTCCTGCCCCTCGCCCACCCTCTGGAACGAGCTGGGAGCCTGGTCCAGAGGCTCTGAGGAGGTGAGAAACAGGACCAGAACCGGAGGAGCAGGTGGGAGCAGGGATTGCTGGGCTAAGCTGCTTTGGCTGGCTTAGTTTGGAGCAAAACCTGGTGGTAAGAGCTGCCTAAAATAACAGCCCTGTGGGGCTCTGGCGTTCCCGGGGTGCTGCTCCCTCCGGCACAGCTCCCAGTGCAGCCCCCCAGGGCTCAGGGAGCGGGGCTTTCCCAGGGATTGATGGAGAAACGAGGCCGGGCCCCCCTCCCCTCCTTCCTTCTCTGCGTCTCATCCATATGCTGAGCATTCCCTAAGGAAAAACCTCCAGCAGTGTGCTAACAGAGTGTTTGGAAATCATAGGATGAATCCCGGGATGGTTTGGGTTGGAAGGGAACTTAAAGCTCATCTCGTCCCACCCCCTGCCAGGGGCAGGGACACCTTCCACCAGAACAGGTTGCTCTAAGCCTTGGACGATTCCAGGGATGGAGCAAATCCTTGCATTATCCCTGTCCATTCCCTGGCACTCCCAGGGCCCGGGATGCAGGAGCTTGCAAGAAACGGGCAATAACAATCTCCAGCATTAATATTTCAGGGAAAGCACTTGTGTTCTCAGGGCTCTGCAGGGAGAGGGGTTGAGCAGTCGGAGCAGGGGCTGCTCCCAAGGCTTTTCCAAGCTTCCAGAGGAATGGAATCTCTTCCCTGGGAGGGGGGAGGTGAGCTGGTGGAAGGGCTGCTGAGAGACACGAGCAGGGCCCCGGGGACGCTGTGTGCGCCGCTGATCCCTTTGGATGTGCTCTCCGGGGTGAGGAGCTGGGATCAGAGGCTGGAGCTGGGAACGAGCTCCCCCCCCAGCTGTGTGGCACAGCCGGGCTCAGGCAGGGGCTGCATTTTAATTACCCGGAGCCGCCGCTCCCGCAGCAGCTTCCGCCGGGCTCCTGGAAGCGCTGATGGAATCGCAGGGATGGCGCAGTGCCGGCAGCGGGAAGGAGGCTCGGAGCCGCCGCGGTGGCCCAGCTGCAGCATATGGAGGCAGCTGAGCATCATCTGACAGATCCTGGGGCTCGTTAGTTTAATTGCTGCAACATCCCCGAGTCAATTAATCTTCCTTTGAAAACCTGGAGTGGAAGGGGGGGGGCGGAGGGAGGTTATTTTGGGCCTGGGATGACACAAACGAGCAGGATGAGGGGAACGTGATTTGCCTCGGCGTGGTAAAGCCTCGGGGCTGTCTCACCTCTCTTAGGGGGTGATATCGAACCCCGGGGGGGGGTCTCTGTGCTGGGAGGGGGCAAGGGGGGAGAGGTGACACCGTGCTGAGTGTCCCTTTTTGTGCCATGTCCTGCCTTTCACACCCTCCTCCTGCTGGAGTTCGGGATCGGGGCTGCCCTGGGGGAGCTGTGAAGTGCCAGGGGGTGCTGAGCTCCCCAATCCTCATCCTGCTGCCCCTGGGGGGCTTATCCAAGGTACCATCCTGTGCTCTGGGGTGGGTGTCGGAGCGGAGGAGGCTCCCAATAAACTCCCTGTCCTTCTCCCCTCGCTGTCACTCGGTTATTTGGTGTCCCCCGTGGCTGCTCCACGTCCGGCTCACGCGGCACCTGCATGTGCTGCCCCCTCAGCAGCCAAATCCCCCCTGTGCGGACCCCCCGAGCCCTGCTGAGCTCAGAGAGGGGCCAGGACCCTCCAGCACCCCCCGCCCAGCAGGGCTGTGATTCAGCCCTGCGTGAGCAGCCGCCCCGCTGCGTCAGGCCCGGCGGGGAGCTGGGGGCTCAATGGAACGAGGAGGAGCCGCAGCAGAACCATCCAGGGAGCTCATTCATTCCCTCTAACGAGGAGTGTCCACCGGCGCTGTGGGGGGATTGGGGGGGGGCTGCGGCTGCCACCCCCCTCCTTGGGCCTTGTCACCTCGCGGGCAGGGCCGGGGTCCCCGTGGGCCCCCCCTGCTCCCGCTGGGATGTGGTGCCAGTGCGTGGGTGCTGCCGTGGCCCGGTGCCTGCTGCCTGCTATTAATAGCAGCTGCGGATTTTAATTGCTGCTGCTCAGGAAGGGGGGGACGCGGGAGCCCCCCTGGCCCGGCCCTGGCAGACCCTGGCTGTGACAAGCACTTTGTGACCCCCAGGGCCACCAGTCACCTCCAGCCCACCCTGTGACAGTGCAGAGAGCTGGGGACAGTCACCCTTGGGCCGTTCTGGTCCCTCTCAGACACGAGGGGGGGTCCCAGCCAGCACTTGGGGGTCCCAGAGCGTCACAGAGGCCCCTCTGGGGTGTTGGGGCTCTGCCATGGGGAGATAACACTGGTTGGTGACAAAGGCCCCTGGTCCTGCACTGGGGTGGCACTGCGGCCTCTGTGTCCCCAAAGCCTGACCCCGCTGACCAAGACACTCCCAAATACCCCGGGGGCTCACGGCACCCTCTGCCAGGTTGTGGTGTTGGCATCTGCCTGTCCTGTCCCTGTGTCCCCTGTCACCACCTGCCCACGAGTGCCTGGGCTGTTCCTCCTTGTGTGGGTCTGTGTGACCTGTGTCCACGTGTGATTCCTGTCTGTGTGTCCCCATCCCCAGGAATCTCTGTCCGTGTGTCTGTGCGTCCCTCTGTCCCCATCCCCACATGTCCCCATCTCTCCACGTGTCCCTGTCTGTGTGTCCCTGTTTGTGGGACCCCATCCCTGTGTATCCCTGTCTGTCTGTCCGTCCCCATCCCTTGCCATGTGTCACCATCTGTGTGTTCCTGTCCCCATCCCTGCGTGTCCCTGTCTGTGTGTCCCCATCCCGTGGGTTCTTGTCTGTCTGTCCCCATCCCTGTCCGCGTGTCCGTGTCTGTGCGTTTCCATCCCGTGTATCCCCATCTGTTTGTCCCTGTCGGTCTGTCCCCATCCCTGTCGGTCTGTCCCCATCCCTGTCGGTCTGTGCCCATCCCTGTCGGTCTGTCCCCATCCCTGTCCGTGCATCCCCGTCCCTCTGTCCCCATCCCCGTCCCGCCGTGTCCCGGAGCCGTTCGGGCCCGGGGGTCCGGGGCCCCGGGCGGGGCGGGCGCGGCGGGCGGGGCCGGCGGCGGGGCGGGATCGGCTCTGCGGCGGCCGCACCGCACCGAGCCGAGCCGAGCCGAGCCGAGCTGAGCCGAGCCCCGCCGAGCCGAGCCCGAGCCGGCCCCGCCGCACCGGCCCCAGCGCCGCCGCAGCGAGCCCCGCCGAGCCGAGCCGGGCGGAGCGGAGCCGCCTCGCCGGGGCCGCCCCGGGCCGGGCCATGCGCTGAGGCCGCCGCGCCGCCCGCAGCCAAGGGCGGATCCCGGGCAGGACACGGTGAGGCGGCGGCGGCGGCACCGCAATGCGACCGGCGCGGCGGGGGGACCGGGGCTGCCCCCGGCACGGGCGGGGAGTGGGGCGGTGGGACCCGCGACCCTGCCCCGCCACCCCTCCAGCCGCGGCTCCTGCCCCTCCATCTCCACCCCGAGCGGGATGCTCGTCCATCCTGCCCCTTCTCCTGCCTCTCCATCTCCATCCTGCCCTTCTCCCTGCTCCTCCATCTCCATCCTGCCCCTACGCCCAGCCCCTTCTCCTGCCTCTCCACCTCCATCCTTGCTCTTCCCCTGTCTCTCCATCTCCATCCTGAGCGGGATGCTCATCCATCCTGCTCTTCTTCTGCCCCTCCAATCCAGCTCCTTCTCCTGCCCCTTCATCCCTCCATCCTGCCCTGCCCCTTCCCAGTCTCTCTCTCCATCCTGCTCCTTCACCCCTGCTCTGCCCCTGCCCTCCATCACGACCCCCAGCCCCTCCACCAGCTGTTTGTCACCCCCAGTGCTGGGGGCCCAAGTGGGAGGGTACTGGGGGGTGCTGGGGGGAGCAGAGCCCCCCGGCAGGATCCAGCCCGGGCTGGCAGGTGGTCCCGTGCCCAGGAGCTGAGGGGGCGCCGTGCTCTGGACCCTCAGGCACCAAGGGCTGGTTGGGATTGGGGCACTGCTGGGCACAGGCCAGGGGTGACCCCAAAGGGCCCCCTCAGGTTCCTGGAAGGTCCATCCAGCCCACCCCCTCACCCCAGTGCCCCCCACCATGGCTGCGAGGCCAGGGAGGCTTTCAGCTGTGCCTGGGGCAGGTGCGATGGGACACTGGGAAGGGACAGGTGTGACGCTCAGGTGGGAAGGGCAGGACCTTGTCCAGCCCTGGCTGAGGTTGGACGTTCCCAGGCGCCAGCTCAGCCCCAGCCCCCGCTCCATCCCCAGCCCCAGTGCTGGTGACGCTTCCAGCGTGGTGGGATCTGAGGAGCCCACGGTGGGATGAGCTCCTTGGGCGCCCGAGGCCACAGGGATGGGCTCCTCCAGCTCCCAACCTCACCAGCTCTGGGGTTTGGGGATGTACCAGAGTATTGGGGCTCCTCTGTGGGATCTGGACCCCCCGGGGCCATAGGGTGGGAATGCAGCAGCCCCTGGGGACCCTCGTGGGGCAGAGGTGGTGCTGCCACCCCTGTGCTGCCCTGGGGACACCGAGGCAGGGCCAGCCCAGGGCTCAGCATCGGCAGCTCTTTGTGCCCCCTCATTTCACACCCCAGGAATGCGCCACTGGGGGGGGCACTGGGGACTCTGCCCAGGCCTGGGGACCCTGTCCCTGAGAGTGGGCACTGAGGTTTGGCAGCCTAAGGGTGGCCATGGGGGCCTCTGAGCCTGCAGGTCACCAGCCCACAGCCCACCCCTGTGCCACACTCTGCCCGGTGCCCACATCCCTCTGCTCCCTGACACATCCCCGGGCTGGGAGCGGAGCAGAGGGATGACACAGGTGGCACAGGGCAGGACAGGGTGGCAGGGGGTGACAGGGCACAGTGCAGGGTGACAGGGGCCGACAGGACATTTGGCAGCGTGGCCTGTGTGGGAAATGGCACCTCCGTACCTGGGGCAGGGCCCGAGAGCCCGGGTGGGCGCTCCAGGTGTCACCACGTCCCAGCGGCCGCCCCAGCTCCTGCTGCCCGGGGGGGGCTCTGGGGGTCCCTGCCCAGCACAGCCCCCCCAGCCTGTCGCCCTGGCGGCCTCGGCCGCAGCCGCGGTGCCGGTGGCCGCGCTCGGCCATATGGCCACAGCGGGTGCCCGGTAAAAATAGCCAAGGCGGCCGCACCCCGGCCCGGGCGGCAAGGGCGTCCCAAGGGCACGGTGGGGCCCGACCCCCGCCTGGAGCTGCACCTCAAGGGGGGCTCCCTGCTGCTCTTGGGGGGGGGGTCCATCCCAACCTCCCCCTGCTCCCGGCGTGACACCCCCCTGTCCCCCCGCAGCGGCTCCAGCACCTCCGGGCCAAGATGCCGGAGCAGAGCAACGACTACCGCGTGGTGGTTTTCGGCGCCGGCGGCGTCGGCAAGAGCTCGCTGGTGCTGCGCTTCGTGAAGGGGACCTTCCGAGACACCTACATCCCCACCATCGAGGACACCTACCGCCAGGTGATCAGCTGCGACAAGAGCGTGTGCACCCTGCAGATCACCGACACCACCGGCAGCCACCAGTTCCCGGCCATGCAGCGCCTCTCCATCTCCAAGGGCCATGCCTTCATCCTCGTCTTCTCCGTCACCAGCAAGCAGTCGCTGGAGGAGCTGAAGCCCATCTACCAGCAGATCGTGCAGATCAAGGGCAGCGTGGAGAGCATCCCCATCATGCTGGTGGGCAACAAGTGCGACGAGACGCAGCGGGAGGTGGAGAGCAGGGAGGGGGAGGCCATGGCCAAGGAGTGGAAATGCGCCTTCATGGAGACCTCGGCCAAGATGAACTACAACGTCAAGGAGCTCTTCCAGGAGCTGCTGAACCTGGAGAAGAGGAGGAACGTGAGCCTCACCATCGACGGGAAGCGCTCCAGCAAGCAGAAGAGGACAGACAAAATCAAGGGGAAGTGCAGCATCATGTAGAGAGCCCCGGACTGGCCCGTGCCCCACCTCCGGACCCCCCTTCTCCCCTCCCCACGGCCGGACGTGGCAGTGGCATCGCAGCGGGACCGTCCCCTCGTCCTCCGTGTGCCATCACTGTGACTGTGCGGGGACGCCTGCGCTCGCCCCGGGGCTGGGGGTGAAGATGGGGCGTCCCCCCGAGCCGAGGGACACGCGGGGCACGG